GACACACACACACACACACACACACACACACACACACACACACACACACACACACTACCCCTACCTTAGGATGAGGCTACATACCAATATCCCCATTGCCACACTGTAAACAGCATAGGAGGGAGACTCACTCCAATACTCATCCTACAGAATGTCCATCTGAGCACAGCCCATCTCAGTCCTGTGCAGGACCTGCTTGTACCAGCCTGCACTTGGGCACATTCATCCAAGACAGGGTGTGTTTTAGTCTCTTGTTGACTACCTTCATCTCTCTGCTGACTATGGTAGTAGAAGTCACAGGGTGGCTTTGTGCTGTCCAGTCAGAACATCCTGCGTGGGACCACTCTAAGTCAGACACTGCCTGCATACAGTCAGTCAGGCATGGCAGGTACTGTCATTAGCACCAGAAGCTAGCCAGGGATAGGGACTGAAGCAGACGCTTTCCTATGTGGTTCTGAAAGGTACAGCTTCTGCTCTAAGCCAAGGGGCACGGGGGAGGGTCACGCCAGCAACAAGCCACAGGAAGATACTATGTGTCACCAAGCATGCCAGAGAAAACTTTTTAAAAAGGTGAGTGTCCTTGAGTGTGCAGGGGAAAGGCCCCTTGCCAAAGGTTCTCTGGGAGGATAAATGTGAATACAGGATGCTCAAGCCAGTAACATCATGAAGACCCCACAGCCCTGCAAACTGGTGCCTGGGAGTCTGTCTTAGGGAAGCAGATTATGAACACAGCAGAAAGCCCCTTCAGAGTTACTTATAACAATGGGGGAGGGGATGCAAATTATTTGCCAAATGTCTTGTTTTTATTTTGTCCTGAGATGCTGTTGAAGCACTCAAGACTATATCCATGCAGGGGACTAGTGGAATACTACATAAACATCAAAACCGGTGCCATGTATTTGCAATCGCGGAAACTGCATGTGACCTATCGTTAGTGAGGTGAGCCGGTTGTGGGATGAATTGGTGTCCGAGGAAGCACCAAGCCCACGTGCACAGAGACACAGACCACGGATGTCCACGCTGCCGGCAGTAATGTCACCTAGAGTGCTTTCAACTTCCACTCAGTACGCTTATTCTTAACTCTTTGTTAACAACTGCAAATTTAAAGTATTTCAATTTTAAAAAGGTTAACAGCTTGGTGGAGTGGCAAAATCCAATGACTAATGGTGTAGGTTTTAATTCTCAGCCTCTGCAGGAGTTCAGGGAACCACATGAACCGTCCACCTTAGAAGCTCTCACTGGAGACAGAATGACCCGATTCCTGCCACAACAGGACTGGGTCTGCTTTCACAATCTTAAGGAGACCATGAGGGCGACATCCTTTGGAGAAGCAGCTTTCCCACCTTCTGAGCTGGTGCCTGTGCTTGACCTCAGCATGAAACCGTGGCGAATGACATCTAGGCCTGGCTTTGCTCTTAGCCGCTCAGAGCTGGGGTCAAATTCAGCTGTTATAGTTTAGGTTTTCACTGTCTTGGCTCTCGTGGCTCACCCCGCCTTGCTACTCTCCTTTGCAACTCGACTTCAATGCAACTGGCACTGGGATCCACTATGGAATTGAGAGCCCTCGATTAACAGATGAAGGGGGTGGGGGAGCCTGAGGGACTGACTGCATTATACACCTCTCAGGGCAACCTAACGCCACTGTCCTCTTCACACAGAGGCAGAGGGCTGGCCTGACTCTGCCACAGCCTCTGCCCCATGGAGCTGTACTCACATGTAAGCTGGGGTGGTAGGTCAGCACGCCGTTGTCGCACAGGGTGACATACTTCTTTTTCCACTCTTTGTTAAGCGACTTCCCACTGCGCTTCAGTAGCATGCCCTGCGGGGAAGAGGAGCCAGAAGGAAGGTCCCAGGTAAGTGGAGAAAGAGGCAGAAGACACAAAGAAAGGCATTCAGAAAAACAGAAACTTTCTTTTGGGTTTGCATTGTTAGAGGACATTGCCCTTGTTTTTACATTTAATTTGGGTTTTTCTGCTTTTTCGTATTCAACATTATAGGTGACTTGGAAGTCGAACTTTGGAGCCACCATCAGCAGCTGCAGTGGGCATCCTGGCTGTCCACCAAACTCCACACAGAACTCAGGCATAGCGAGTGGAAGGTGCCTGACGGAGAGACAACTTAACTTCTTGCTTTTGTGGCACTGAAAACTAAAACCAGGGCCCTGCACATTCGAGGAAAGTATCCTATCAGTGTACAGAATTTTAATTTATTCAAACTGAGATTTTGTTTGCAAACTTTAGCAACAACACTGGGTGGGTGAGCTGTAATTCACCTCAATCGATTTTTAATGAAGTCCCATTAAGATCTCTGGGAAAGCTTTCAGAATTGGGAAACATATTTTGGAAGTCACATGTGGCCTTGCTTTCCCTGGATGGCTGCTCCAGCAAACTTTGCATCTGTTCCCAGGCTTTCCTGGGTGAGGACAATGGATGAGCAATCCTAAGTGGGGTCAGGCCAACACGCCAGCAGCCTTGCCTCTGCCCTCATTGCAGCTTTCATGCCAGATTTGCACATGCCTGTGCATTCCAATTCTGTCTATGTGCAGCGAGGAAACCTCTTGTCCATCAATAAACTGCCACAATTATGATAATGGCTGAGAAGCCATGCACCTAACACTAGCTAATTCAGCCAGACTTAGGGAGCAGGAAGTCACAGTTCTCAAATACACCCTGTCTGCTTGGGGACGCAGGGGCAACCTCCCTCCCTGAGCCTGTTCTTCTCCAGGGGTCTCAGTGGGGAGAAAATCAGGTCAGTCTGCACACAGGACAGGAAGGAGCTCAAATGTCCATCACCAACACCTCGAAAATACAGCTGTGTTTACTCAGATCATGAGCAAGCTACAAAACCCAGCTCGGGGATCTGGTCCATTAGTATCGGTTACTGGGAGATCCGAACCCACCAAGGAACCTTTGATAAAACCTGCTCTGCATGGTTTTATCATGGAAAGAAAGCACATAGCCAAAAGTGACACAGGAAAATGTTTACACTGCCCACAGGCACAATAATAAACCAACATCCTTCAGCCCTCACATTCCCTCCCCAAGGACAACTACCATTCTTAACCCAGCAACACAAGGCCACACCCAAGTTCTCTAGTGGGCTCACATTTTCCCATCATCCACTTCAGATGGAATTTCAACAATACAGAAGGTTGAGGGTCATTGCAATGTCACTGGAAGATTAGGGCGGCTGCAGGCTTCAGAAGGCCATGTCCCTTCCTGCTCAGGCAAGCGCCCGCAGATGGCTAACACGACTCCTTTGGGAGGCTAGTGGGCACTTTCATGAGCCAACCCTACACTCCTAATTATCCTTCCACCAGTGAAGGCTACAGAGAAAGAGGAGAAACTGGCCAGACTGGAGGCATGTGGAGAGGCACTCAGAGTTATCTGGGGAATTAAAAAAGCGATTCATTCTTTAAAAGACTATTTTTTTATTTAACATTCATTTATTTATTGTGAGCATGTATGCCACAGTGGGTAAATGTGTGAGTGTGTGTTGTGTGTGCATGGGTGAAGAGTTAGAGGAAGTGTGTGAGTATATACGTACGTACGTGCGTGTGTGCGTGCGTGCGTGCGTGCGTGTGTGTGTATTGTAAGCATGTATGTATGTGTCTGAAGGGTCAGAGGACAGTTTGCAAGAACCAGTCCTCACCTTTCCCCATGTGGGATCTGGGTTTTGACTCAGGTCATCAGGCTTGGCAGCGAGAGTCTTTATTTGCTGAGCCATCTTGCTGATCCCAGGCTAATCTATTTTGATGCTCCAGAAATAATATTACCAGGAAAGAAAACATGAATGTTGACAATCACAAATAAATTCTACTGCTCCTCGGAGGAAACTGTTGGCTTACTCAGTTGGATTACTGAAACACTGTAAGCGTAGGTCAGCCTGAATAACACCCACGTGTCCAAGGGTCACCTCTTTCAGCATTTTGCCTTTGACTCTGCTGACTAATTATGTGTCCTTCTACCTCTGCCCTTCAAGGTTACAAAAGGACTGAGAGTCCCCCCACCTTCCTGTTCACATGTCCTGGCTGTGGCCAGCAGGACCTTGAAGGTCTTCTGTGGCCTAAGCACTGCCCAGCACCTGTCCTCCCTGAGCACAGACTCTCTTGCTCACCATCAACCACAGGCCAGAGGCAGCAAAGCCAAGGAACACAAGGCTCCCTTGTAGACAAGATTCTGGGCCACACAGGCAAAGGCATTCGAACCACAGTGAAGCGGCAGGCCTCCTATTCCTGCCGTCACTCTGGGCTGTGAACTCTGCAGTTCTCAGGTACAGTGAACAACCTGCTCTCACGGCAGGAACTCAGGATGTCAGTCACAGCCTGGAACCACTGGTCTCCCTTTCTGAAGCACAAACAGAAGGGCTGGTACATGCACTCTCGGTGGGCACCTGTGAGAGGGGCTCCCGCCACCCCCAGCAACACAAGATTACACACTGCAGACAAGGCACTAACTTCACAGCACCCCACACTTTCAGAGACTTTCTTTAGCTACCAAGAAAGCCCAGCTTAGCCAAAGGACAGGACTGGGTGGAGCTTCCTTTTCAGGTTGGCCTGGGGAACCCTGTCCAACACTCAAATTTCTACAGAATATAAGTATTCCAGCAGGGCATTGGCACAGGCCTATAATCCCAACACCAGAGTGGGAGAAGCATCCAGATGTCTGAGTTTGAGGCCAGCCTGGTCTATAGAGTAAGTTCTATGACAATGAGATTGTCTCAAAAACAAAACAAAAACAAAGTATAAAGAAAATAATTCCCACAAAAAACCCCAAACCAACACCATGTGTTCAGAGTGAGAAAAAGCATGGCCCCAGCTTGACAACCAGTATGTGACTGGCCATCCGGGATCACCGCTGTGACCACATCGCTGTGACCACATAGGGCTGTTACTCAAAGGTCTCACATACACAAGCCATTTGTGTTTTGAGTGTCACCTGTCCTGGGGATTCTAAAATGTGAAATGGGTATGGTGACCATTTTCCAGCCTGCAGACACAGAAGTACAGTGAGGCCAGAAGTAGCCCAAATTACAAAACAGCCTGAAAACCAAGAGTTTCTCCTTAGCAGCTACACACAGAGGCTGGAGCAAGACATGGCGGCAGGGGGGGGGGCAGCTCCCTCCACCTCAGGACCAAAATGTACACCTAGTCCAGGATTCTCTTGCAAAGCTCCAGTTTTCAACAAATCCCTGTTTACCTTTTGGGTCCATGTCAACGTCAGTTATTCTCCTAAACTGTTTCCACTTTATAAGGCCATCTTCATTTGATGGAGTATATAATTAGAGTCACCCATGGACCCTAAGTGAGGGCACCTAGCCATTATATGATTAAAACATGCTTCCTTTTCTTGAGTCGTACAGAGTGATAAGCACTGTTTTACAATCTAAACAGGCATTAGTTACACCATAAAGCTCTATGTGTACTAGGAGAGTGTGGTGTGTAGTCTCCACTTGTGGTCCCCCAGTTCTACTATGACATGGAGTGGTCAAGGAGTCCCGGGATGGGCAGGGCCTGTGGTGGGACAGATAGCTCCATGCTCTGTCAGTCTGAACTCTCACCCATCCCTAACAACCAAGAAAGAGGCAAGCCATACAAACAGTTCATTTTAAACTTTCAGAGGACACAAAGCCACAGTCCCGACAGCCAGGAGATGACAGAGGCCGGAAGGCTCCTGGCTGTCTAGACACAGGCGGGCGGCTCCCGTCAGTGCGTGCAAATGGCCCTTATGATTCTAAGTCTCTTTGAGTGGCTGTAACCTAGGGCAAAACTGCACGGCAGAACGTCAAGATGCATCCTTCGTCCATCTTTCAGATGCCAATCTGGTGCACGTGAAGACAACCCTTGCTTTAGACTGTCGTTGCTGGCCAGCATAGTCATCCATTTGGGAATGCTTCATTTCACTCTTAGGGGGCTGCAGCATTTATTTGGATGTTTAAGTTTCAGGGCAATACTGGGCTTCACTCAAAAGACAAGTTTGTTCCCTGCATGTACAATGGTTAGTCTACGGAAAGCCAGAACAGGCAACTGTTAGCCTGCAGAAAGCTAGTGAGCATTTTGCATTTGTACATTGTGGAAGTCTACCATCTCACGCTGACTCTGTGCTGCCTGAGACTGGCTTCAACCCAAGGAACAGACAGTGTCCATGTAGATTTAACACTTGTCATTAAAGCCATTGAGGGGGCTGGAGAGATGGTTCAGTAGTTAAGAGCAATTGCATATCTTCCAAAGGACTCAGGGTTAGTTCCCAGAGCCAAATCTGGAGGATCTGACCTCTTCAGGTTTGTCAAACCTCTTCAGGTTTGTCAGCTCCTGCCTTACCTGTACACATTCATGTGCGTGAGCGCGCACGTGCGCGCGCGCGTATACACACACTCACACACACTTTTTTCTTAAAGAGTAAACCTTGGGGAAAAAAAGGTCAGCTCTGGCACCATTGAGCTGTGTGACTCTGCCTTGTCCTCAACCATGATGTCACAAGCAATGACAAAATGACTGTTCTCTCTGGTCAGTCCATTCCAGGGTAGATAATGCAAATTGGCATCTCATACCACTGTGTTTGGAAAACAAATACGTCATGGCATTGATGTGGACCCAGTTGGTTGGGAAGCCAGCAGGACTCAGGAATGCTAGCAGAGCCTTGAGGAAAAGGGTGCAGCATTGGCTGACACTGGGCAAGGGGGCGGGGGCAGGCCACAGGCCAACAAAACCTCCAGCAAACCCACAGACCAAATGCCGTGCAAAATTCCATTATGAGCCTGTGCACATGGCAGTAAGATTTCCACACTTAATGATGAAAGCACTGCTGGCCCCCACTATGG